ATGTGTTATAAAATACACACACGCACATACTAGAGAGGATAGACGCATGGAGGAATTGAAGAAAATAACGGAAGCAAGAGGAGATCACAATGATGCGCGCGCGAGAGAAGATAAAATTAATCTAATCCAGAGAAAAATAATGTTATGATATTTTAGAATGATTAGAAAATCATGGATACATAGTACTATAAGTTAGAGTTCCTATAGCTATTTAAAATCATCCAATCTTCACCCTGCCATCAGGTTAAGGTCCCGTGGCGGCCAATACTCAATTTTGGAAGTCTTGTGAGGGCAATCTGAAGCAGATAGCAGGATTTGTTCTTTCATCTTTTTCTTTATGATTTGGAATTTTTGTTCTATTTTTTTTTTGTTCTTATGTGTTGATAAACTCATAGCTAGGGATAAGATGCAGCCTATTTGGTTTTGATATATTTTTTTTCTGAGCACTCTTTGTTTTATTTGAACTTCATCAATATTTATGTAATAACCCTAATAAAATTTAAAATATATGTGTATATATATATATATATGATAATTTGTTTAAAGTATGTCTATATTAATTTTGGAGACAATTACCAAGCTGGTTTAGGGGAACTGTTGTAAACAACCCATGTATTAGGTTCCGGGTTCGAATCTGCAGAAGCACAAATGGAGGATTAAAGCTTTATGAAATTACCATTCTACCCTCTCCTCATCAAATAATTATTCTCTTTCCTTCTTTATTCAGACGCGATATGCACCGAAAGAGGAAGGGAATTCTGGAGTCTTCAGTCTTTCTTTCTACTCCTCTGCCATCTCCGACCTTTTCTTTTCCCTCTTCACTACTTGCTATCACTGGCGACAGAGGAGGCTCACCATTGCTCAGCGACGTTCAGGTGCACCTTCATGCCTTCCGACTCTGTTTTACTTCTTTCCCGGTTTGCTGCTTTCCCTGTGTCATTCACGTCCAAGTTGTGGCTAGAATAAGAGACCAAGTCGTCGGAGCTGGAAGTTTCTTCTGAGTCCTTCTTTCCCCAGTTCAACCATGAGCTTCATTATCTTCTTCACTGTTTCGTGCTTCCTGTTTCTGTTGCCTCTCCGTCTTCTGCTCTGTCTCTGTCCGTAGCATCGTGTTCGAGCTGTTGGGGGATAATCCAAGTTGCCAGAGCTATTGTTGGTGTTGTCGAGAGCTGGGTCTGCTGCTGCTGACGTGGTTTTTCTCCTTGCTGCGTGCCATATTTAGTTCTTCCTCTCCCCTGTTCAGTTGTAAGTTTTGCTTCTCTCTTTCCTATATGTGTGTCGTCGGTGGCTTGAAGTAAGGGGGCTTCAAGACTTGCTTTCTCTTGGTTGGTATATGTGCGATTTGAGGATTGAAGTTGTATAAATTCAGCTCCCCTGTTACTGTCTGTGGCTGTACGTGCATGCATAGGAAGGAGAATTTTAATTTAAAGGGAAATTTCATTTGCACAAGAAAGGAAGATGAGGTTGCAGATTGGGGTTCTATTTGAAAATGATTGTATTAGTGATATTGTAAGGTTTTAAGGAAGCTGAAATTTCAGAGAAAAATGTTAATATTAGCTTGATAAATTATGCCTATATAGTATTTAATAAAATACCTAATAGAAAATTTTACCTCAAAAAAAAAAAAAAGGAATAGCATGTCTAAAGCTTTATGGAGGAAGTCACAAAGATGAATGATAATGCTGGGACTAAGTTTAAATCATAAATTTAATTTTGAATTTTAGATGATGATAGTTAATTTGGAATTGTGTTAAAGGTTGGAAATCTATTAAAATTTTATTTATTTATATTTTTATAGGATGTGTGGAAGAACGGGACCTAACAAGAATTAGAGGAAGGATACTTTTGAGAATTTTAAACTCTAACGTGTAAGTGAATAGCATCTCCTTTAATATTTTTTATTTTTAACAGACTTCTACTGAAATATTTTATTCTTATGAATTATATTAGTTTTGGAAATTATGAAATAGTGATGATGGATAATTAGATGATGATATATGCATTTATTTTCTCAAGAAATATAATTCAAATATTTATGAAATTATTTTTATTTATTTAACTTTGAAAATTCTTGATTATTCAATTAACGCAAACTTGTACATTATTTATGAAATATTATTTTCGATAAGTACTAAATTGAAATTTGAAATGATTCACACAAGTTGGGTATTGAAAATATAAACTGTATTTCAAAAGTGATTATTTTTCTCGCATGTTCCAAACGAGATTTTTAAGAGGATTCTAAACAGGACACTACTGCTAACGATAGTTCTATTAGCTCATAGCATGCTGTGGTTAAAAATTAACTAATTTGCTTTGTGGGCTTTGATCTCACGTTTGTTATTCGTGAGCTTTATACTCACATTTAATCCCGTAGCCTTGAGCCGCGTTTGGTTTGTATTGCCTTTGTAGACTATGTGTCCACATTTGATTATTTACCTTCGTGGACTGTATGTCCACATTTATCTTCATGCCATAAGTCATGTTTAGTTATTTATCCTCATGAACTGTATATCTATATTTGTTACCTGTTCTGTTGAGTTTCCATGATTCTAAATTTTGATTAATATGTGTTTTTAAAATTTCAATAGTTTTGATTAGCGAGTATATTACTTCGATTTACGTGTAAATAAATTATTTTTTTAAGCATGATAAAATAAATTGCTTCCAATACTCTTATTTTACTATTATAATTATGATTTACAAATTTATAAGTTTATTATGATGAATTTTCATCTTTTCAGTTAGTTTACACTATTATTTGGATTTATTATTTTAATTCTTTTAAATTTTATTTTAGAAATGCTATTTACTAAAAAATTTATTTTGGTCTTAAATTCGTTAGCCGACGCTGATCCTACCACTGACCTCTAAAGGACAATATAGTTATATTGGGTGAAAATTTTGCTTGGTATTGTTACCTTTTTATATAAATATTTTAGGGCTCATGCATTTTAAATTTAGAAAAAGATCAACTGCTCCACTTAGATTGTTGTTAAGACTTTAGTTTGATTTACATATTGTTGCTGGCTAAAAGGAACTAAGCTCTTAATTGATACTTTATTTTGTAAAATTTTTGTGTTGTAGAATTTTTGAGAGATCCTATTTACAGGGAAGGTTCTGCTGAAATTTCTATAAAAATATTAAAACTTTATTATGACAATTAGTATCAAAATTATTAGAATTTTCATATAATCTAATCAATTCTATTTCTAAAAATGAAATGAATTTTTATTTTAAGACTTACGGAAATGTGTGAAGTGGTTCACACCCGTGCCGATCACCTTTTACTTTTGGGACATGAAAATTTATTTAAATTTAAATTTATTTTAAATTATTTTTAATTCTTTTATTTTTCATATTGATTTTATGACTAGCCATTATTTAATTGACTCTTGTTCCCCCTCCACCTCCATCTTGCCCTTGTGAGGGAGTGGGGAGAAAAGAGAATCTTGCTCCCGTACATTTGTCCCTCTCAACATTAAGCTACAATAACATTTACCACTGTCAATGTCAACTTTTTTAAATATTTTTCCATGCCTATCCATAATTTTTTATGTAACATAATTAAGATTATCTTGATGATGAGCATGAGAAATATTTTGCTCTCAACTAGTAATTTAATGAAACCAGCATGAGACAATAGTGAAATTGAAAACATGATATAAATAATGCAACTAAATGGTCTTATTTTAACAACTCCAATTGAAGAATCCCCTCCTTGTAATATCACCAAACATATCGGAGTATTTTTACAAGTCCGGCATAAATTTTCCCTGTCAAGGTTATCGTATAAGATGCTATCCAGAAGATTAAAACAAAAAAAAAAGGCAAATATAGACAGTCCAAATATATCAACGTATACATTGGGACAAACAGACTCAAACATACATGTGTAATGAAATCATCATGAGACCATATTGAGATTGAAAACACGATATAAATAATGCAAGTATGATGGTCTTATTATAATAAGTCCAATATAAAAATTGCGATAATGACATATCACTAATAATATTGAAATTGAAGAATCCCCACCTTGCGACAGCTCCAAACTTATATTTTAGTCAGTCCAGTTAACTTGATAATCTTGAGCCTAGTGAGGTTGTTGGAGGCACTGGTGAGAAGAATGGAATGGAAAATCTTAAGCTATATAGAGAAGGATGGATGAAGACTAATGAGAACACTGATAAAAGTTGTTAAATAAAACAAAACTTCTTAATTAAAAAATATTTCTAAAAGTTTGGTTAGATTGATTAGAAAATCATGGGTACACGATACTATAAGTTAGAGTTCCTATGGCTATTTAAAATCATCCAATCTTCCGGTGATGGCCAATACTCAATTTTGGAAGTCTTGTTAATCTTCTAAGAGCAATCTAAAGCAGATAGCAAGATTCATTCTTTCATCTTTATTCTTATGTGTTGATAAACTCCCAGTTAGGGATAGGATGTAGCCTAGCTGTTATTGATTTTCTTTTTCCAAGGACTCTTTGTTTTTTTTGAACTTCATGAATATTTATTTTAAATTATATCTATTTCCCTTGTTTCTTTATATTAATTTTATGACTGGCCATTATTTAATTAACTCTTGTTCCTCCTCCACAAGGGCAAGGATGGAGAACAAGAGGGAAGAGAAAAGAGAATCTTGCTTCCATTTATCCCTCTCAACATTCAAGATACAGTAACATTTGCTACAGTCAATGTCAACTTTTTTAAACATTTTAGTGATGAGAACAATGATAAAAGTTGTTTAACGAACTTTCTTAGTTAAAAATATTTCTAAAAGTTTGATTAATAGTAAAAAACTAAAAGGAAAGGTAAAGAACACATTAATTGATATGAAATGTATCATATCAGCTGTGTTTGCTCATCTTTTACTCTTTATTTTATAATACCATTTGTATAGTTGCTAATTCTAAAAGAAGTTTGTCAAAATCAAAATTGCTTATTATTAAAGATCAACCATATTATAAAGTACATCAAATGGATTAGTGCTCAATGGCAGAGCTACATTGTAGTGCAGGTGGGCAAATGTCCCCCTCACTTTAGGAAAAACTACAAATAAGATATGTAAATTTTGCAAATTTACACCTCACACTATTGATATTTTGCACCTTCTAAACTGAATAAAAAATATTCAAGCTCAAAAGAGATTAGATATGAATGTCATATTCACATAAAAGATCATATTATCAATAAGTTAAATGTAATTTTTTTAAAAAAATAAAATTATGATAAATCTGCTTATACTGTTACAATTTTAGTCCTAGTGTAATAATTATTTTTTTAAAATTATTAATTTTTAAATTAAATTTTCTTTCACTTCCTAACTTCAGGTCCTAGTTCCGCCACTGAATCATCTATATTATTTATTGAAACTAAAATATTAGAATTACTTAATTATTAAAATTAATTATATAATTTTGCAGGTGAAAAAGCTAGAAAAGGAATATAAATATAGATAAATTACAATATATAAGGCCTCTAAAATAATTTTGTCTTTGGCCACAAAATTTCTTCATATGGTCTTGTATATGCCATTAATGGAATGAAAATTTGTAAGGCTAAAACATGAGAAAAATATCATTTGGGGATAATTTAATGAATCTGTGACTAAGAACACAAGAGGCAAGGGCACTTGAGGACTGTATTTGTGCATACATTTGGGAGTAGGTTGGCTCTTGTTCCCCCTCCACCAAAGGGTAGGACGGAGAATAGGAGGGAGGATCAGGAGAGAATCATGCTCCCATTCATTTATCCCTCTCAAGACCCAAGCTACAACAACATTTGCCACAATCAATGTCAACTTTTTCACAGATTGTCCATGACTATCCATATTTTTTTATGTAACATATAATTAAGATTATCTTGATGATGAAAACGAGGCATTTTTTTCTCTCAACTAGTAATTTAATGAAACCAGCATGAGGCAATATTGAACTTGAAAACACGATATAAATAATGCAACTAAACGGTCTTATTTTAACAAGTCCAATATAATTATATGGTGATAATTACAGCTCATTAGCAACATTGAAATTGAAGAATCCCCTCCTTGTGAGATCACCAAACATATCGGAGTATTTTAACAAGTCCAGTACAAATGGTCCTTGGTCAAGCTTATAGCATCAGATGCTATCCAGATAGTTAAAACTCAAAATGTAAATTTGGACGGTCCAAATATATCAATCAACTCTCTCTCAAACATATATTTGTGTGTGTTAGGAATGAAGATATAACTATTTGAAAATGGGGGAGAGAACAAATGGACGAAGACCAATAATTGTTATGATTGTCCAAAAGTGAAACTTAACTAAGTTGATGCGTGAAAAGTCCCGCTTCAATAAAATTGAGGTTAATAAATAATATATAATAGAATAAAAGGATATGGCGATAATTTCCAATTGCCAAAAGGAAAAATGCCTATCGGGACTCTGAAATCGCAGATCTTAAGTGTGAAATGTTAAACTTGTTTTACTATATATAAAATGTTGACAGCTGTTTTGCATATGCAACTCAAAATTAAACATTGAAAAATGATATTAAGATTGAATAGATTTAACCAATAATTTAATTAATCATGCATGGGATCTCAAAAAAACGTAAGGTAAGTATTCTGGTATTAATACTTAGCTCGTATTATGTACGGTGTAATGCGTGTGTGAATAGATTTAGGTACCGTAGTTAGCTTGTTTCGACGGTTAGAGGATGGCACGTAGTAGCTTCATTGGTTTGACAGTAATTCTTCACACGCAGCTAGTAGTTAAATGAACATTGATGGTGTCGTCTGTATAAACGCCTCACATACCCTATAAATAATGCAAGTAAACGGTCTTATTTTAATAAGTCCGCTATAAATAAGGCTATACTTAGCAATGTGTTGGAATATTGAAATTGAAAAATGCCTGTCCAGAGTCTCAAACCCCAGTTAACGCTCTCAAATACTTTATACGAAGAGGGAAACACAGTAACATAAGGGTACATGACGGAGAGAGAGTGACGTCAAAGATGACTCATACGAGAAGCAAGTGTGGTGTGTGCGGATGTGTATATATAAGGGCGAGAAGGAAGCTGAGTGAAACACAGACACAGATCCAGAATCAGAGAGAGAGAGGCCTAAGTCATACATAACTATATTCCAATATTCCAATCCTTTGTTAGCCTATCGGGTTTATGCCAGCAGCTACACTTCGATAAAAAATCTGGAGTCTGTGAAGCTCAAGAACGGAATCCATGTCGCCCTGGCCTTCGCCAGAGATTACGATGAAGATGGGAATCCCACTATGGGAGACTTCAAGTACTATTTCAAAAAAGACGAGCTCACTCCTACCAAGATCAAAACATTCAAGCAGAAGTCAGTTTCCAAAGTCAAGTTCTTCCTCAGCATCGGTGGCCGTGACGAGAAATATCCCTTTTCCGTCACCTCTTCCGATAAAAAAACCTGGATCTCGAGTGCCACCGAATCCCTGAAAAAGATCATCCACCAATACAACCTTGATGGCCTCTACGTTTACTACCAAAACATCAATCCCGACGGGCAAGGTCAGTTCAAGGATGCAGTAGGTGAGGTGATACAGAACCTGAAAAATGAGATGGCGGGCGACTTTCTGGTTTCCATCACCGTGTCCGCTCCTCTCAGTGATACTTATTACTGGCCCTTGCACGAGGCCTGCGAAAAGTTTATTGACACTGTGGTTTACCAGACCCACACTTGTTCAACTGTCATTAGAACTTCGCAGTCCCTCAAGGACGTCCTCGACAATCTGCCTTATGCCAAAGAGAAGCTCATCGCCGGGTACAGTAGCTCCCAGCCCTCGGACTGGACCAACGTCCCATTGCCCATCTTCCTTGGTTGCGTTCCTCACCTGCTCGACCAAAAGCCGGTGACCGCTTCTGGGATTTCCAACTGGATTGTGACCAGTGATGATAACCTTGAGAACTGAAAAGCCATCATGGCCCTTGTTATGTATCAGCTTCATTAAATAAAGCATCGGCGTCCCTCTGGTGTTGATGCGTGCTGCTGTTTCATGTTTCTGAGTGCTGTGTCTGTCGTCAGTTAATTTCCTTTCCAATAAGTCTCCAGTCACCGTTGGTGGAGGCATTTGTACTTGTTTGCTTGATTTGCGCTCAATTGGCTGTTGTGTTATCTGCATGTGCCAACTTGTTTAATAAATGTTGCTTTGATTGTTAATCAATTTGGTACGTGCATGGTTTTCCTTTCTCATCCTTTTTTGCCACTCGCAACTCTTGCTCAGTCTCCCTCTTGCTCGTTGTGCATGATTTCCCAGGGGATACTCTTCGGTCATGCTTGTCACCTTTCATGAGATGAGATCTGCGCCATAATTTTTAATTTTTAAAAATAAAGATAGTATGTTATTAACGCTGAAAGCACGTAACAAATATCTCATTTTATATGTCTTTGATGTGTAATTTATAAGAATATATATTATATATTTTATTTTTCAGATTCATATAATCAAATAAATCAATTAAACTCGTAAATTCATATTAATTTCTTTGAGAAAATAAGAATAATCAAACTATGCTCTTTGCTTTTAATCTACTTTGTTTATAACAAAGACAGTAATAAGCATTTATAATAAATGAATTAGAATAAATGGATAGTCACAATTAAGGACTTCATAGGAAAATTAATATCGTCATAATTTAATTTCCCAAATTCACTACTCATCATCTTCTTATGTTTAAGGACTCAAAATTTTTAAAAATCTTTATTTGATATTAAGTTATCAATTTTTCAGAAAAATCTTCTTATGTACCACTTGTATTTAATTTATCAAATTATCATCAATTTTCGTGGGAGCAATTATCGCCATCTTTAATATGGACTTTTTAAAATAAGGGGCCTAACTGTTGTAAATGTATGTCAGCACAATAATGACCGTTAAGTCTTAAATAAAATAAAGAATTAATGACAATTAGTTCTCCAATAAATTTGTCAGCTGTGAAAAGATGAGTTACAAATATTTGTCTAAATAATTACAAATTCAAATTTTCTCATAAATAATTAATGAAGAATTGTTATAGCATAACTTTTGGAATTCAGGTCCCGAATTTAGTCATGGGAGAGTATGAGATAAAAATTCGCGCGCGCGCACACACAACTTGTTTTTTATGGAAGATGAGCAAATATGACAAACTATTATGAGCATTCCACTATATATGTGTATGTATAATATGACAACAGAGCAAAATTTAATTATTGGGTTAAAGGGTAAGTTTATTCATTTTTTCTATGCAATTCATGGATTTAAGGGAAAATATCACTCAAGAACTGTTGAGGGTATTTAATATCAAACAAGAACTAACAAATTCTGAAATATCATTGCAGGACTAAAGGATTGATTTGAAAATAATTTTAGGTGGGAAAACGCTATAATGCCATTGTTTTTTTAATTGACAAGTAGACTTTCATTAATTAACAAATACCCATTCACATTTAACAAGAAGACATTCACTAATTGATAAGTTCAATAAGTTAAAACAGATATGTTATAGGAAAATGACAAGTGTAGATCAAATTTCAATAAGTAGTCATTCTTTAATTAACTAATACTCATTCACATTTAACAATAAATAACTCACTAATTGACAAGTTAAAAAATCTAATAGTGTAATATCCTTGAAATTTAAACCCAATTAACAAAGCTTAATGAAGGTAATTAAGTGAATTAATGTGGTGTGTGGCTAGAGAGGTTTAAGTTGTGTAAATGATTGTGATTACAACCCTAAATGCAGGTTCAAAATGAAGTTGGGCCACCTGAGCATCAAAAGTGAGAAAAAAGCGAAGAAGGGTTCTCTATACCATATGCCACAACATGAGGAGTATCCATTGCGGTGCACAGAAGCAAAACCATGAGGAAGAGCCTCTTTGTGCCTTGTGCTGCGGCGAGAGGCTATGTGTACTGTGGAGTAAGGCCAAAATTTTAGCTAAATCAGTTTGTGTCTGTATAAAAAATTAGAAGAGAAGAGAGGAGAAAACAAAAGACACACACATTGGTCTATTAGGGTACAAGCTTAAGACCCATTGGTAATATTTGAAGCTTTCCAATAAACAAGGTAAGTACATTATGCTTCTCCCTCCCCTTTCCTTCCATTTTCATAAAGACTATAGTTAGGATTTGAGTTGAGAGAGTGATTTCGATCTATATGAGCTATGAGTTTGAACCCATTGACTAAAATAGATATAATTGGAATTGTTCAGAGTATTTAAACCCTACATTAATTATTTTGTGAGTTGTTAGTGGTTGGGGATCATTAATACATGAAATAGCAATAAATAAGGTTGTTGGGAGTGTTAATGATCATTAATGATGATTTAATGATTCATTAATGGTAATGTCGGCCATTGGAACCTAACAAGCCAATTAAGTATGATTGGGAGTGAGTTTTGATTTTGATTTAGAGGAGAATGTGGAGTTAGAATGGGAAAATTGCCAAAAATGGGGTAATAATGTTATCTTTGTGATATGATTTAGAATAACCCATTTGGCACCATTCAAGCTTGGGAAGAAGCTTTAAAAGTGGTTATTTTAATAGGTAAGCCTTTGATCTTTCAAAAGTTTGAGATAACTGGGGAAAATTTTGTTTGTACAGTTGTATGTTAATTAGTGATTTGTTGGAATAAATGATTTGGAACTTGTTTGGTGTGTAAAAATTATTAATGCAAATGTTAGCAATGTGATTATTATGTGTGTGGAATTATTTTTGATAATGGAGAATCTTATGCATGTTGCATATATTTGATTAGTAATGCTAATTGAGTGCCTATCAATGTGAAAATAATGAATATGTGAGTGATGATATGTTAATTGATATGTGATGAATTGTGTTAAAATGACATATTAAGTGTCAAGATGTGTATAGCATAATTATTGGTGGGAGTTCGCCTAAAGAGAGGAGTAGATTGGTAAATTCACGAAGTACTAGTGACTTATCATTGGAATTAAAAGCTTGCCTTGGCACCAACCATTAGAATTAGGAGGCAGCCATTGTCCCATGCATGGTTAATTTGGGATTGTCCCACTTGTTCTTCAAGGGACATGAATTTAAATTAGGTCTAACTAGTTTCCACCCGTTTATAAGAAGGCTAGATTAGGTGTAACATCCCAATTTAAATTTTAATAGTTAATTTGGGTTAATAGAAATTTTAAAAAAAATAATATTTAGAGGTAAGCAAATTAGAAGGAGATGATTGTTAAATCTAATCAGGAGATAATTCTAAATTTAAAAAAAATAATTAATTAATTAATTAAAAAAAATTAAATTATTATTATTATTATTATTAAAAAAAAGAAAATGTCTAAAGAAAGAAAGAAGAAGAAGAAGAAGGAGAAGAAGAAATTGCTTTCGGTGCTCTCCACGGCAATCATGACACATATATATATAATAATAAAAAAAAGAAGAGAGAGGAAAGAGGAAACAAAAAAAAACATGTGGGACCCGCGGTATTTTTTTATATAAAATCACCCTCCTTCCTTCATTTCTTCATTTCATCCCTGTACGCGAGTTGAGGCAGAGAGCGAGTGAGAGAGTGAGCGACATTGATGGAGAGGCTGACTGATTTAGAAGGTGAAGCTCCATAATAAGATACTTCATATGAGATTTTAAGTATTCTAAAATTAGGTAAGTATTCTAAACATTTTTCTTAGTCATATTTTCTCTTTGGTTTCTGATTTTGTGGTGGTAGAAAATTTAGGATTTGGAAGAGGGATGAATTTATGTTGAATAAATATGGTTTTGAGGTTGTTAGTAGTGTAATAAATATTCTAAAGTATTATTTTATTGATAGAATTGGAATTTGAGGCATTTGAGTTTATCCCTAGATTTCTATGGGTAGATTTTTAGTTAAATCTGAAAATATAAATTGATTTGTTGATATTTAGATGATTATTTGAGATGAGAAATAAATTATTATGGCTATAGAATAATGATTCTAGGCTTGAAATCAAGTTTGCAATTTTTGAGTATTTTTATGTGCGAGTTTTTGGAATAAAAAGAGAAATTTTGATATTAGAAAAATATTTGAATGAAATTATTGTGAAGGAGACTATTAAACCAAGTAGATACGTTCAAATACATGAAATTAAATTTTAGAATTCAAGAGACTAAGACTAATTTCTTAAAAAAATAAATAAATAAATATAAAATAAAATAAAATAAATACTTAAGTGTTAGAGTATGAGTGAAAATTGTGTTAATAATATTATTGACACATTGAGATATGATCAATTGTAGATTAATTTTCTTTTGACACCATTCAAGCTTTGGAAAGTTTTGGAAGTGTTGTAACTTAAGGGGTAACCTTTGACCTCTCAAAGGTTGAGGTAACCGGGAGAAATCTATTTTATACATTTGTATATTAATTAATTAATTATGTTAGTGAAACAAAAGAATATATATATATATATATATATCTAAATTTGAAATAATTATTTGTAATGCATGTGGCTTTGTTGAGACCTTATGATTTGTGACCAAGTTAATTGTGACTTGGTATAAGTAATGAGATTGATGTTGATGAAGATGTGCACAATCTTGACTATAAATTATGAATTATATATATGAGTTTTTTTTAAAATGAATTTTTTTTAGTATGATCATATGGCGGGAGTTCGCCCTAGTGAAGGAGTTAGCGATTACACAAAATTCATATGGTATTTGGCTATTAACCAATAATCCTAGGGGTTATAGCCACTACTTACCTTGTAAGGTACTGTAGCATTGTTCCTATTAAGGGACTTGACCCTACTGGCCTACCTGGAGTTTTGGGTAGAGCTAGTTTTGGGTATGACACACTATAGTGTGTGATTTGGGGGAAACCGTGTTCATAAGTGAGTAAGGTAACCCTGGCCCGATAGCCCCTCATGATATAATTAAGGCTTTGGGTAGTCTCACCACATGGATGATCCCTTCCAGTTGT